CTTCCTAACCCCTTCATCCATACCTTAGGGAGGCAATGCTAGCCATTCTCTCAGCATCCCCTACCTGTTTTATTTGGAACTGCTTGCAGATTTTAGCATTTTCAGCATGTACTGATTTTGCCTGCCAGTCATATCTTTTGGAAATCTTTTTCTTAAGGTTCACATAGCTTTCATTCTCCACTCTAACTGGTGCAGGCCCTTCATCCTCATCTGCCTCCTCCTCAGGCTCTGATTCCTGTTCAACTTGAAGGGACAAAAGGAAACATTTCCGTATGGCCTCCTTTCTTTAGCAAAGGGGAAAGTCACTGCCTAACAAAACAACATCATAATCCAGAGAAAGAGTTAAAGCTTGACTAAAGCAGGTGCATTCAATTCAATGCCTTTGGCTAAAGAACTGAAAATGCACCTATAAGAAACTTTACTCCAGGATCAGTGGTTATCATTAAATCACAAACCAAAAACAAAGTGGTGAAAACAGTGGCATGCCTTGTTGCCAACACAGTAGGCTCTTTGCACTCAAGAAAGTAAGTCAAAGTTTCAACTATTTGCAGGTGTCTCTAAAATCTATGACACAAACCAGCTCAAATGTTCAAAAGGCGACTGGATCAACAGAATATGAAATATTAGTTAGCAATAAAAGGAATGCAGTAACTGGCACATGCTACATACTGGATAAACTTTGAAAACATTATGGGTAATGAAAGAAGCCAGACACAAAAGGCCAACATAGTGTATGAGTGCATTTCTAGGAAATGACCCAGACGGGCAACTCCACAGTCATCAGGGTGGTTGCCAGGTGTGCGGGGAGGGAGATACAGGGAATGAGTGCTCGTGGGGGCGGGGTTTCTTTTCGGGGGTGATGAAATGTTCTGGGTTAGACGGTGGGGATGGTTGCACAAGCCTGTGGATGATACACATGAAAACGATGAACCTGATGGCATGTGAGTGATAGCCCAATAAAGCTGTTGTTTTTCTAACACATAATTTGTCATTTCCTACAGGACACATTTGAATCTCATGTGCTAGATGGTGGCCTGTGGGAGTGAGCCAGGTGGCCAGAGTGAGTCCAGCCAACTGTCTCGGGGCAGTTTTGCTTTAATTTTTTCAGTGACCTCTCCCCAGGGACTTTAGTGAAATAATCAACACTTCCGGTCCTCTGGAAGAGGGCAAACAAGTAAGCGCGAATTCCTGGATGAAAGCCGGGTTTTCTTGTGGCATCATAATTTGTGCAGTAGATCTGAGTCTGGACAAAGCCAGAAGCCTGCACAAATATGTCTTTATCGGAGGAGTTAGGGCTTAATAAAGATAGTCCTACTCCGTATTACGAACTAGAGATCCAGTGTACTAAAAGCAGTGGTATCAAGAGAAGCATTTCTCAGGACTCATTTGAAAGCTAATTTCATGTAGAGTATCAGAAGTAAACATGTGAAACCAAATGAGTTAAATAAAAGGTTTTATGGGACGGTGTGTCAAGGTCCTGCCAACGCTGAGATTCTGTGTTGCTAAAATAAACACACAGCTTTTTAAAATTCACTCTTCTAATTCACAGAACCCGATCACGGTGGCACACGCTCTCCTCACCATTAAAAAGCTTCGCTACTAGCGAAAAGCTGTAGTCTAGTGGATGTTCTTTCCCCTTTGCTGAGCCACAGTACTGGGGAGAACAACTGGCTCACGATCACGAGGAGATGCTAGGCCAGCCCTCAGCAGCTGTGGGGTTTAAATTCATGATTCTGAGCGCCCTCCACAATGCCCGCCGCCTGATCCATGTGCGTTACATACCTCCAGCAATCTGATGTGGAATGAAAGCATCATTTGGAATCACTGGTTTACGATAGGCAAGATGATTCGCCCTGGTCCCAGAGGGCGTGGGTAAACAATTCACAGGAGGAACACTGTACTTATGATGGGTATTTGTTAGTAACTTCACTATTTCTGATTCATCTTCCAGAAGGGTGATCAAAGAATATACCACAGGTTCTGAAGTTTCTGCATATGTCAAAGCCTTGCTATAAAGGAACTCAGAAATATGTAAACGACACGCCAAAGGTAGACGCTCGTTGGTGGAATAAAACGCCACAAGGGGAGCTTGGTAGGGGTACTTGTGGTTTTTAGAAAATCGAACTTCAAGTTCATATATAAAAGATGCGTCTTCATTAAGGTGAGAATCATCTACCTTTTTTTCTATCCTTCCAACAATTTGATCTGGGGGTACTTCATGCTTGAATTTACATTTTGATCCAAATTTACAATTTCCTTTGAGGTAAAATTTGCAGGTTTCAAGTGAGGGCTCCTGCGCATTTTTGGAACTCCCCCTTTGTTTGGATTTGCAGAATTTACTCGCCAGATACCCCATCTCTAATCCAATGGTCCAGACTCTGTTCTGAATTCTTTCTACAAACTTTTCTCCACAGATGGACTTGAGAGCAAATGCCTCTTCGTGCCGCTGCTCCACACATTCATTCAAGCTAATATGGGCAAACGCCTTGGGGGTCTTCATCCTTTCTCCAAACGCTTCTGAAAAACACTGGGTAAGCAGGTGTTCTAGGGATGCCCCAACATCTCCACCACAAGTCCTCAGGGCTGCCTGACAGAGCTCCATGTTGAAACCATACCTGTTAATAGCAAAGTACAACAAAAATGACTGGGGAAAATGAAATCCCCAAATGGGTAATATCAAGGACCTGGACAAGGACAGTGAGTGACAAAGAGGAAGACTGTCAAGGGGGTGGACTGACACAGCGGCTGCCACAATGGGATTGGCTAACGACGACTGTGAGGAGGGCGCAGGACTGGGCAGTGTGCTGGTTCAACTGAACACATCATGAGTCAGAACTGACTGGACGGCCCCTAACAGTACTCACCAAATCCCAGAGTGGAATTCATTTAAATATACTTCTATGAACTGACGATTACATATGGGTAGGAAGTGTGTATTTTGAAGAACCATTCCTGATACTTTGAGGCTTCCTTAAATCCACTGGCCCACAGATAGAATATTTGCCATTTTAGTCATTGCTAGAACTCACACAATGGGTAGGACTCATGGAAGAGTAGCTGGATTGAGAAGATGATTCTAGATCCCTTGAAGCGTCCCCAGCTCCCCTCAAAGGTTGACAGCACTTACCTGGAAAGCTTCTGCACTGCGAGCGAGGAGACCGCAAATTCTGAACCATGAGGATCGACCAGGGCTGGGCCAGCATATTCCAAAGGACTAGGATCCAGAACAACGGATGCTTCCTGTCCAGCTGACCAATACTGCTCGTCATCACCATAATCAGGCTCCTCGTCTTCCTCTTCCCCAGAAATGCCTCTCCTAGCGAAGACACCATTTTTATATATTAACTCTCATTTCTACCTACCTCAAAGAAATACTTAGCAAGGGTCTAAGACTATAATTTAATAAACCAAAAGACACATCATTCTGGCTACGTTTCAGTTATTGAAAGGGTACTTCATTAACCTGTAATTCATCTGTTGGCAACTAACATTTATCAAGCATTTATTATACACCAGGTCCTGTGAGAAGTCATCAGTATGTACAATCTCTTAAATTTCCCCACAGGCCGATGATGTACCACTAGAATCCCCATTTCTCTAACGAATCACTAAGACGACTTTGTGAGGCTTTACTACTGACTAACCTTACACAGGTGTCCCTGGTGCAGTACACAGTCATGCTCCGCTGCTAACCAAGAAAACGGAGCAGCAAGTCCACCCAGAGGGTCTCTGGGAGAAAGGCCTGGTGAGCTTCGACTGCAAGGACGGCAGCCAATGAAACCCCAGGGTGCAGTACCGTCTGTTACACACGGGCTGCCATAAGTGGAATCAACCCAACAGCAACTGTCGTGAGTGTGTGTGTTAATGAAAGCTACACAACAAGCAGCAAGTGGAGATTCTCGCCAAGGCAGTCACACCCCAGAATCTGTGTCCTTAACCACGGACGTTTGGCTTTCTCCCCCGCCTCAGGATTAAAAACAACACAAAAAAACAACCTCACTAATTTCATGTTTTGCTGCATAAACTCCCTTTCCTAAGTCTGAGGAAAAGAAGAGATTTAGATACAGAATGGAAATTGAACTGTGCATGACTGGCCACTCATTAATTCTGGCAAATGGAAAGAAAGAATGGACTTCAACCAAAATCACAAAGCAAACTAGCCAAATGCAATGGACAGCTGAGCGCATGAGTGCACGTGCATGCGCCTGTGTGTGAAGAGGAAGAGTCCGACTTTTCCGCAGGGCTTTAAAGTCACTCGAAAGAGTTCAGTCATAGCCATCAAAACCAACAGAAGAGACCTGAATTTTAAAAATGTGGGCGGACAGGAATGACAACAGAATGAAAAAATCTACAGGTCAAAGATCTATAGCAGGAGAATCGGAAGGGGTGCAGTGAACTTTGTCAGGAGCCTGATGTGGGCAATCGGATTATTGCCCAAACTGCAGAGAGTGACGTACGTTCAACGCATCACAGTCTGCTGCCGTCTTCTAGGCTGGGAGTCACTGCTTCCCATCTGGTTGCTGTGTAATATGCATGCTGCCCTACAGGGAGATTACATTTCGAGCAGGGTGGTAGCCCACAATATTTCCCATTCTGAGTATCACTCCAATTCACCCAAATTTTAAAAATCTGGGTCTATTCTGGTATTGCTTCCTTGTGAATGACTGACTGAACCTGTTTGAAGCCCTGCTTTTGAGGAAAAGCTGTTTCTCTGAAGCAGATAGTTATGAGAAGTATAAATTTAAGACTGCATCTGATCAACTCAATATTTGCCCCTAAAACAATACTTCTCCTTGTTCACTACTGGAAGATGATTAACACAGCAATAACTGAATCCATATAAGTACTATCCAAGAAAAAAAATTAAGATGCACACTCATAAAGAACAGGCTTGCATAGTTAATTATAGTTAATTTCTGTCATTAAGAT